CATGAAATTAAGACTCTTAATTTTCATGATTGTTTTTTAGGACTACAAGTTTTAAATTTAATTTACAAGCAACTTTGACTTGTGATTGTTTTCAATTCTCCATGTGGTTTTTCCTTTTTGTAATGCATGTTTATTTTGGATGATCCATGTATTAAATTATGAATTTCATTTTAGTTCAAATGTTTCATTTTTGACCCAAACCGAACCGAAAAATCGGTTCCCAAACACTCGGGTCCCAATCTATTTTCGGTTCGGGCTCGGTTTTCATTTTTAAGAGAACCGAAATGTCAATTCGGTTTCGGTTTTGGCACTTTCGGCGGTCCCGAACCGAATCAAGCCCTAGATTTGACTAATAATTTACCCATGATCACAAACTAGTCAGCCGCTCTGGGACTAGTACCGGAGCGAGACATGGGTATCAGGATGGTTTTGATATGCAAGGTTTGAAATTTAAATTATGATTTTCTATCATTTTACGATAAATAAAATCGTATAAGGAGATTCTACATCAATTTTGATACACCTGATAAACTTACAAAAAAGTGATTTTCTATACACCTTCCTCCGTCCCTTAAAAGTTTGTCAACTTTCCTTTTTTTGTCCCACTAACTTTGTCATTTTCGCTTTTAAGTAAGGAATTTGTGGTTCCAGTTAGTTCTTTCTCCTCTGCAAAAATCCCAATCACACAGTTTTTACTTTATTAATCCTCATGTTAGTCAAACTTAGCAAAGTTTTAAGGGACAGAAGGAGTATCATCTTACAAAAAAAAGTGCTGGGGTGAGAGCGATTCGGTTCAATGAAAGAAAATTAGGAACCATTTGAAGAATCATTAATTCAATATCGATTCATAGATAATATCTTATTAGTGCAATTTTTATATGTTGTCAATGAACCAATTAAGAAATAAAAATATATTTAATCATTACTATAAATCGCTAACACATAAAAAATATAATATGAAACTAATAAATATATAGTTAACCCTAAATAAGTAAAAATCTTTTAACAAACTGAAAATGAAATAAAATCTCTTACTAAAAAAAACTCAATTGCACCTATGCCCGTACCACATGTAGCAACAAGTGTAATAGTTTTGTAACAATTAGTATTCTTACTCATCTTTGCGGTCGTTTTTTCTAATCGTTGCAGTGAGTGTAACAGTTTTGTAATCATTTTGATACATTGGTGTTATTTGATAGAGTATATGGGCCCAGACCCTATGGCCCACATACTCAGAAGATCAAAACACCAGAGAGGGACACCCGCGTGGCACTCTTCGGCCAAATGAACCTCGCACCGGCCAAAAACCAAAGTTACTCAGAATACCGTCCGAAAGCAAAGTGGGTCTCCATCGGCTGGGGATCGCATCACCCAGGGCATCGCATCGGCCAGAGAGTACCGGATCGGCCAGAAGTACACTGGCATGATAGTTTTTACACTTAATCAAATAAATTATGTACTCAGCCCATTAGAGGCCTTATTATGCCCATTAGAGGCCTTATTATTGTAACGGGCCTCCTAAGCCCAAGGCTAGGAGCCCAAATCCAAATTTACTCATATAAATAGCCCCCTATGGGGGCAGTTATATAGGGGGTTGAGAAATATTAATTGCTCACTTTCTCTCTCCAACTCTCACTTCTCTATAGAATTTTATACTCTATCAATATTGAAGTTAGAATATCAAGACTTCCTTCCAATCCTTAAAATGCATATATAATAAATGAGTTTAGGGAAATTCTCGCGTGGTTACTTTGACCAATAACTGAATCTAAAACATGTCTGTGTTCTAGAAAATTCAAAACATTTGGGAGCGGAGTATTTAGACACGGCGTGATCAATGAAAGTCCAGTGATCTAGGGTTGTGGACTACTATATTCTGTATCAGTTGCCTCGGAAGGAGACAGTGATAAGTTGTGGGGTTTCTCGTGAAGTGATGAAACACATGTCCAGTGGGAAACAGATGAGTGGTCTAGGGTAAGGTTCTGCATGCGGCATTAGAAAATATGCAATGACTTCTACCTGGAATTTGATTAAATCAGTCCTGGACCTATGAGGAATTATCTGAGTATTTGAGTGAGTAAAGGTATTTTCTCAGTTGATAACATAGTTGAGGTAGCAGACTTGTCATTGATTCTTGATTTGTCCCACACCATAGTCTTTTGTTTTCTCACTCTCATAGTTTTCACTCAGTCACTCTCGACATTGTCCTTTGAGTAGGCGCAGTTGGGTTGTATTGAGCCATTGGGACTTTTTTCTCATTGGTCTGTTTTCCTTTTTTCCTCTGTGTCCCCCAACTAGAGCACTGATATGCTTTGTCATTGTTTTGCACAGAGGAGGAGAAAATTGAAAACTATCCCTTAATAGCTACATCCTTGAGAGAAATCTTGCATTGTCTTGCGCCATGAAGAGAAAAGAGACCCCCCAGAAGTTGTAAGTGGTGTTGTTTGTTACCCGAGGAGTAAGGTAGAAAATCCCCCTTGGAATGTGTTTTCTTCGTTGTATGGCACCAGAAGGAGTGTAAAAGAAACACACCCCCTCTGAATATACACTAGTTATTTGACGTGTTTTGACATTGAGGAGATAATAGAAATGTTTCCCCTGAGAATGTGCTTTCAATAACTTTCTACTCAGTGGGAAGTATACACATCAATACCCCCCTTCATAGTGTGCACTAGTTGATAACTCACAACTTGTCTTCATACCCGCCATGTGTGTGGAGCAATCGGATCAGGTACCACACATGACGGGCCTGCAAAAGATTAATAAACCTTTCGTACCCATTTCAGCGTGAGTCCATTCTTTAAGAACAAAACAAATTTTGAAACTGTTGTTTTATTTTTGTTCCTAAACCAGCCTCTTGTGAAACTTTTGGAGAGCTATATGATTGTGATTATTATCTAGGAACCCATTTATGAACAATAATGATTCCAATGCAGGTGAATGATGGGACAGATTTTGAGAAGTAAAAATTTCTTCCTTAATAGATGCTTCAAATGTTTGTCTGAATAAACCTTGAGGGGATATTCCAAGTAAACATCATAGCTAGAAGGTTTATATATCTTTAGTTCAGATTTCCCATCATTCACATCACAATGATGATTTGAAGTATTAGACTGTCCGGTTTCACTAACAGTAGCACAAGAACAAGATTTCACATATGTAGAGTCCTCTGAAGAAGACTTAGAAGAATGGTCTATGTTAGAACTGGGTGATTGACTGACAGAACTTGAACTAGTATATTTCAAAGTACTACCAGACTTAGAGAAAAGAGATTTTGATTTTTCATAGAACATTTTAAATCTTGCAGCTTCTTTTTTATTTTGTTTAAAAATCCAGGCCATCCTCTTCTTTTGGTGTTTATTAAGAACATTATTTTTCGTTTTTTCAAAATGAGAGAAAAATGATGAGCCGTTTTAAGAGATGATGAGGAGGTTTTGAAAGTTTTCCTTTAGAATCGGGTGAGGAGGTAGAAGTTCTGTCTATTCTGAGGGTGTTTTTGAGAGAGAAAATTTCATTTACAAACTTCTCCTTTTCTATTTTGAAAACATTTGTTTGAGTTTCCAGAGATGTGTGTAGATTAGCAATTTTCTTAATGATCTCCGGAATGTAAGGTGATGATTTTTCAGAACTAGATGGCTCTTCCATTGTAGACACAGTTGTATTCTCATAAGGAAAAAATGATTGATAGTCATCGGACAGAGGAATTTCTCTTGTCTTGTAACTATCGTTCAATTCTGTGTAGTTAAAAGAAACTTCACCTTTCACTTCCATTTCTCTTTTATCATGTTCAAGACTTCAAGGGCATTGATTTCTGATGCACTAATGAAGATCATTAATTTAGTTAACCCTAAACCCGTGTACCTATATCATAAAGTTGACGGCAGTTAACTTTCTTTAGGTTACAAGGACTTTGGAAACATAAGCTTTTTCTAGGATCGTAGAACTCAATGTCCTTCGGCTGATTTGAAAAGGGGTGGGTTTTCGAGGGTAGTCCTTTGGGGGCTCGAAAAGGAGGATTTCGGGTTATTGAAAGCATTCTAGTTGTGAAGGTTTTCGAGGGCTTCAAAAGTGTCTTTTTAGGGTGAAATTTGAGCTGAATTGGGATTTCCGGAGGCAGGCACGGTGCCAGGCACGACCGTGCTTGAGACAGTGCCTCCAGAGTAAAGTTGCGCGTTTCGGGCGGTCGTGTCTCCCTCCATGCACGATCGTGCCTGGCCTCCAGTAGCTAAGCACTTGTTTCTTCTACAGGCACGGCGTGCCTAACTCCAATGCACGACCGTGCCTGACCTTTTCTCATCCAAATTTGACAATGCTTCCTTCATGAAAGTTGTAGATAATGAAGTCCTATATCCACCACAACTTGCGAAAGTGGATTTAAATCATCCAATCAAAAGATATGAATAGAATGGTAGAAGGTCGCATTCTGAAATCGCAACAACGATCATCTGACTTCATTGTCTGTTTTCACCTTCCTCCTCTCAGATTCACACAATATTGTCTTTACATGATTTGTAGATCTTGAAGTTGGCTTTCATATGAAACTTGAATTGTGTCCTTTAGATGTTTCTACAAAAAGATATGCTTGAACGATTAACAGAAGGTCATCCTGATCGTCGTTTTCAAGCTCTATTCATCTTCTTTTGATCTCATAGCCAATCCTAGAGCTCTTTTGCTATCAAATCTTCATTGTGAACCCCCCGTTGACCTCCAAAGCTCTGAATCCTCTCTCGAATGCATCTCAACTCTTCCCGGCTTCTTCTCAAATGCCGGTGTCAGGCTCAATTTCCCTGATTTTGACTCCAAAACAATACAAAATTCGAACCAACGCCCGATAAACATAACTTGAGCTAAAATTGAGACTTCTGACACCTTAAAGTTAGGAAAACCCTCAAAAGACGATCCCAACATGCATCAAATGCGTGTCGAAATATAACTTCATCACCTGTTTTATTATGAACAATTTATTGTTGTGAGAATAATGAGAAGGCTTACCAATGCGGTAGCCTTAGGTGTCATATATATATAAGAAAATATGTCCTGCATACATTAGGAAACTTAATAAAGACGGAAACCTAACTAATGGTATTAATTACTCTATTACACCCCCTCAAGCTGTGCAGGGGAAACAATGCGCAGATTGTCTCTAAGAAAAATAAAACGCTGTGGTGACAGGCATTTAGTGAGAATATCTGCCAACTGGAACTGAGTAGGAACATAGCGAACAACCAGATCTCTATGCGAAACTCTCTCTCGAACAAAGTGATAGTCAATGCTGATGTGCTTGCTCCTGGCATGCTGAATAGGATTAGTGGACAAGTATGAAGCAGAAACATTGTCACACAATAACTGGACTGGTTCTCGAATGGTGATGCCTAGCTCGAACAAGATGGATTGAATATGCAGTGTGTCCTGAACTGTGTAAGCAATAGCTCTATATTCAGCCTCTGTAGAAGATCGGGAGACGGTAGGCTTTTTTTTTTGGCTGGTCCGGGAGACAGTAGGTTGCTTCTTGGACTTCCATGAGATCAAATTCGGACCCAAGAAAACAGCAAACCCAGAAGTAGACCGGCTACTGTCAGGATAACCAGCCCAATCAGCATCAGAATAAGTCTGCAAAGTAGGAGAATAAATGCTGGACTGAAGAAGCAAGCCGTGAGCTGCAGACCCCTGTAGATACCTGAAAATACGCTTAACAGCCAATAAATGAGTAGTACGAAGTGCATGCATAAATTGGGAGACTAGGTGAACAGCAAATGTAATATCAGGTCGAGTCATAGACAAATAGTGCAGAGCACCTACCATACATCTGTACTCAGTAGGATCTGCAAGGGGGTCCCCATCAGTGAGAGACAACTTAGTTCGAGTAGGAAGTGGAGTACGAACAGGTTTAAGAGTGTGGAGGTGAAACCTAGTTAACAGACCAAACACATATTTTTGTTTAGAAGAAACAGACCTGAGTTTGTTCGAACAGCCTGGACACCTAGGAAAAAATGTAAATTCCCCTAAATCCTTCATGGCAAAACAACGGCCAAGACACGAAATAAAAGTGAAGATAAAGGAAGGGGAATTACCAGTGATAATAATGTCATCCACATGCAACAGAAGATACAAAATATGAGGCCCATGGCGGTAAATAAATAGAGAATTATCAGACTTACTACAGACAAAACCATGAGTTAATAGAAAACTGCTAAACCAATAAAACCAAGCTCTGGGAGCTTGTTTAAGACCATAGTTAGTCTTCCTGAGTCTGCTAACATGATTAGGAAATTGAGAATGAACAAACCCAGGAGGCTGACGCATATAGAGGCCGTTTGGCAACCATGATTTTCGGCTTATCAGGCTTATCAGCCAACTTTTTCACCAAACACGTAAATTTTGCTTTCATGCGCTGAATTTTGTAATAAGCAGAAAAAGTAAGGTTGGAGTTACTTTTCTGGCTGTATTGGCTGAAGTTACTGTAGATGACAATTTTAGCTATTTTTACATATAATTTTTTCTTTATTTTATTAATAAAAAATATTTTAAAAATATTTTTTTCTTATATCAGCAGAATCAGCCAATGCAGCCATTTCAGCCAGAACTTCATAAATTTCAGCAGAATCAGCCAAAACAGCCGATTTTCGTGCTACCAAACGGGCTCATAAACTTCTTCAGTTAGATTGCCATGAAGAAAAGCATTCTTGACATCCAACTGGCGAATTGACCACTTATACGAGACAACAATAGATAAAACAATATGAATAGTAGTAGGTTTAACAACAGGACTAATAGTCTTAGGAAAATCCACACCAGCTTGCTGAGTAAAACCTTGTGCAACCAGACTTGCCTTATAGCGCTGAACTGACCCATCAGCATTAAATTTTGTTTTATAAATCCATTTAGACCCAACCACATTTTTACTAGCATTAAATGGAACTAAATCCCAAGTATGATTATCAATAAGTGCATTAAACGCCTCAGCCATAGCAGCTCTCCACTTAGCATCTTTGTTTGCCATAGAAAAACATGAAGGATCACATGCCGAAATCTCTGTTTTGAGAGTAAACATGTTTTTGGGTTTTAAAATTCCTACCTTGGCACGAGTTAGCATAGGATGGCAATTTTTAGGAGAAGGTGCAGGTGGAGAAGGGCTCGGGCTCGAGCTCGGGCTCAGGCTGCTGTCGCTCATGATTTGGTCAGAGAGGGGCGGCTGTGGTGAGGCTGTGGTGAGGCTGTGGGTTCGTCAGAGGTGGCAGTCTGCTGCTGGTTGCGGTCTGGGGTGCTGCTGCCATCCGAAACAGTTGATTGGGGGGTTGGGGTGTTGCTGCCGACCGCAGCGGTGGAGTGGTGGGTTGGAGTGACCGGAGAAGCTGGGGAGTGGATGGGGTGCTGCCGCAGGTTGCTGGGCGCTGTAGAAGGCAATAGAAATGGCCGGAAGTTATGAAGTTCATGCATACTTACCGGGCTGTCGATGGGCATCGTGGAAGTGTCCTTTTTACGTGCAGAAACCAAACCGGAATAAGGAAAATAATTTTCAAAGAAACGCACATTCTGATTTCTGTAAATCTTGTCAGTAATAGTATTAAAGCAACGATAACCTTTGTATTCGGGGACATATCCTACAAAGACACATAAGGTGGATCTAGGAGATAGTTTATTGGCAGAAGTGGCATTAAAATTTGGAAAACAGGCACAGCCAATCACACACATAAAAGAGAAGTCGGGAGACTGGTGGAATAATTTTTCAAAAGGAGATATGCCATTTAAATTTGGAGTAGGGAGCCGATTAATAATAAATGTTGTAGTAAACACGGCATCTACCCAAAAATTAGCTGGCAATTTTGCATCAAAGAGCATAGTGCGAGTTAATTCAAGTAAATGCCTGTGTTTGCGCCCAGCTACGCCATTTTGTTCAGGAGTATGGGGGCATGATTTGCGAAATAAAATACCATTTTTGGTAAAAATATCGCGCATAGCAAGATTGTCAAATTCACCCCCTCCATCACTTTGAAAATTTTAATTAAATTCTAGCATCAAGTAAATTTTCCACCATGGCTTTAAAATGTTGAAAATGTCTCACTACTTCACTTTTATTTCGCATGAGATAAAGCCAAGTAAAACGGGAAAAATCATCAATAAATAAAACATAATATTTAAAGCCACTTGAAGAAAGAACAGGAGATTGTCAAACATCAGAATGAATTAAAAACAAAGGAACAGTATATTTAAGCCACACTTCTTGAAAAGGTAACCGTTGTGATTTTCCTAACCGACAAGAAATACAATCGTGAGAAAAATTAGAAGTACTAAGAACACTGCCAGATTTTTTTAATCTATCTAAAATAAGACTTCCACAATGGCACAAACGACAATGCCAAATTGGTCCGGGAGTAGCTTCAGAACTGAGAGCAACTGGGGATGGATGAGTGATAGAGATAGGATAAACGCCACCATTACTGAAAGCTTGGAGGAGCACCTTCCCCGAAATTGTGTCCTTAACACAGCCAGAATTTTTATAAAAAATTACAAAACACTTATTATCGGCACACAATCGTTGGATGAAGAGAAGATTATATTTAAGAATTAAGATTAGGCACATGGAAAACCGATTTTAAGATTAGTAGCTAAATGCAAATTACCAGTAGTAATAACAGGAGGATTAGATCCATTAGCAACTGTAATTTTTAGTGGTCCAGAATAAATAGATTTATTGTGCAAAATACCTTCATTTGGAGTCATGTGAGCGGAAGCACCGGAATCAGGATACCACACAGCTGGAGTGGCTTCGCCAGTAGAAAAAGCTAAGGCAGGAGCCTGAGCTTGAACAAAACGAGACGGACACGCTACAGCTGAATGACCTGGAGAGTGACACGTTTGACAAAACGACAGGTGGAGGGACTGAACCAAAATTATTCTCAAAAGATGGAGATCTTGCAGAGGCATAATTAGTACAAAAAGTAGAGAGCGCAGGAGTATAAAACGATGACTTAACTGAATTAGAAAATACAGTACCGGATCCCCAATTTTGTTGATGATGGGCCCCTCTAGCTTGTGCCGCCGGCTGATAGTGCTGCTGTCCGGGACCGAAATACGGCTGGGGTTGCCCGTACTGCTGCTGCGGTTGGTAGCGGCCACGCCCCCAACCGCGGTTACCACGCCGTCCGCCACACCCGCCCCTGCCGGGCTATTGCTGCTGATTCTCGGACATCGCACGACCACGGCCAGGCTACTGGTTCGAATGGTCTCCGTGAGCGGGTGCAGCAAACGCCGGGGTTGTTCATGAAGGTTCCAAGGACTGTTGATAGCGTAAGCGGGCTTCTTGATGAACAATTTCGTGCCTAATTTGTCAAAAGTTAATCCTTCAGGAAACAAGGTAAGGGGCCCCACGAGTGACTCATATCCCGGTCCCAATCCCAAAAGTGTATATTGAATAAGATCAGCATTGGAAATCGGGGAATTGATGGAGGCTAAAATATCAGCAATAGTTTGAATGCCGCGAACATATTCCTCCATGGACTGATTCTCCTTCTTCTTGTGAGATAACATTTGTTTTAACTCCATGGAGCGTGCTAGACTGGTAGCTATAAATCGAGACTCCAAACGTTGCCAGATTGCAGAAGAATTTTTCAAGGTATGAACCTCCATTAGAATTTCTCGAGATAAGGTAGCAGACAGCCAAGCATGAACAGTTTGGTCTAATTTCAACTAATGATAATATTCAGGATTAACAGATTGAGCCTGATATAAATCATAGGTATACAAAGGCGGAGCAGGTAGAGACCCATCAAGATTGCCTAAAAGACCGTTAGCCACCCAAAAAGACTCGAACTAAGTACGCCAGGGTAGATAATCTTCCACTTTGAGTAATTTTGAGGTCACAATTTGGGCAATTGAGGCCCCAAAAGTCATGCCTTGAGCCAAAGTTGCAAAGGAAACATGCATGTTGATGGTGGATGTGCTGCGGCCGATTGTCCCGGATGATTGCGGCAAGAGGAATCCCGGACTGCCGGACAAGGTTGGACCGACAAACCGGGCCACGGCTGCTGTGCTGGACTCGGCTCCGGAGTTAGTCTGAAAAAGCGGCGGCGGTAGAAGGGACAGTGGAGTTGGAGTCCACGTGAAGATCGGTGGAACCCAAGTGGAGCTCAGCGGCGTCGGTGGCAGAATTCCCGGCGGCGGCGGCGATCGTGAGAGGGGAAGACATCTCGCGAATAAAATAAATTAAAACTGGCTAAAACCTAGAGCTCTTGATACCATGTGAGAATAATGAGAAGGCTTACCAATGTGGTAGCCCTAGGTGTCATATATATAAGAAAATATGTCCTGAATACATTAGGAAACTTAATAAAGATGGAAACCTAATTAATGGTATTAATTACTCTATTAATTGTTCCCGGTCTTTCTAGCATACAACTGTTCAAGCTTGTTCCACAAAGTGCGAGCATGAGTCTCTCCGCTGATATATGGTTCAAAACATTATCATCAACCCATTGACGAATATGCCCACAAACCTGTCTATGCAAAATATTCCACTCTGCATCTGTTTTACTCTTAGGTTTTTCAGTATTAAACAAATTTATTTGAAGCAAAAGATGAAAAGCGATGAAGTTAGTAAGATCCTGCCCCCAATACACTCTTTTTCTGGATCCGCCATTGCCTGTATTAGTGGGATCAGTACACCGTGCTGCACATGGTGTAACTATCACACAATATAATTTGTCGTCATTGAGTGTATACGTACAATTTTAAACCAATAACAACAAGAAACTATAATGGTGTGTAGATTAAAAAAATATACCTTGTATTATTACACACATGATTTGGAGCCCGTTTGGGAACCATGTTTTTCGGTTTATCAGACTTATTAGCCAATTCTTTCACCAAATACGTAACTTCTAATTAAGCGCTGAATTGTGTAATAATAAGAAAAAGTAAAGTTTGAGTTACTTTTCGGGTTGGATTGACTGAAATTACTATAGATGACCATTTTAGCTATTTTTTATATAATTTTTTTGCTTTATTTTATTAATAAATGAAGTAATTACATAAATATAATCAAAATAAAGATGGTTTACCAAAATATGATTAGTTAGTAGAGTAGTAATGAAATCATAGTAATTCATGTTCAAATTTTGAACTTAAGTTACCACA